AAATGTGGACCCACGGCCCTATCAGAAACGTTGCTATCAGAAACAATGCCCGACTGTTTTGGACGTAATATGGTCGGTGTTTACATTAGCATCGCTAACACTCAGAGCTAACCTGTACTGGAGAGCATGTGTGTGAAGAAGCAGGAAATAAAAAGGAACTCACCTTGTGGTATAACCGGCAAGAGAGAAAGCCTTTGAGCTCCATACTGTTTCAGAAATAATCCTTGATAATCCATGATATGGCGTTTCATCACGGCAGTATTTAGTTTAGACAGTAGCTGCCGGGTCCCGCATGAGCTCAGACCCCTCCTTTTTATTTTTTTATCAATTTTAATTCTTTTAAAGCTTTATACACAAATCAGCACTTTTGAAACAGGAAGTGAAATAGAGGATATGAGGCATGGCTAGAATGAGTGATCTGTTTGGTATTTTGAGCAAAACACTTCATAGACATGTTTTTTATATATTTTTATACATCTGAGACCTATGCTATTGCCTAAAAATAGCATGAAAGGTGACCTTTAAGTATTGCGTCATGCCATATATGAGAGCCTATTAGAATGATTTATAATAATTAAAGATAATTTGAAGCATTAGGAGGCATGATTGAATAACTGCAGGGAAAGTGTATTTAGGAAGCAACAGGGATAAATGGCAGGTTTTTTCAGACCCTTGGGTTTAGAAACATTGGGCACTTCCTGTTCAAAGCTATAAGAGATATGGTCGAAAGCTCAAAAAAAGTCTGGTGAGAGGTGGACCTTGAGTTTTCATTTATCGTCTAACCAAAATAATCACGTTAGCCTTTATAAGATCCTTTTTTCATTCACCTCAGTGTTTTAAACGCTTTTTCAATGTTTGACTCAAAGAAGTGTAGCAAAGAATCATGGAGAGTGAAGCCAAACCAGGGAAGTATTCATCTTGAGCTGGAACATGAAAACATGGGTAAGTAGCGCAGCCAATTTGAAGTTCTTTATTTGTACCCTTAGGTAGATTTGATTGGCTGAAGATGAGGCAGAGGTCTTGACACAGATTACCACAAACAACAAAGACAGTAGGAAAACAAGACGATAAAATACTCAAGGCTCCAATAATCACTGTAACCCCCTATAACACAATCAATAATTATAAATAAATAGGTAGAAGTCTTGCTTCCATAGCATCTGAGTGATGGATGCTGTAATCTCCATCTTTGGACTACAAACTAAAAAGCAACTATAAAAGACCAGGGAAAATGTGGAAAGTGGGGATGGTCTTTTAAAAATTGAGCATGGAAAGTTGTTCAACTATAATACAAACAACCTATTTGTTTGTAATCACAACATGTTCAATTTAATATATGTTTTGACGATGAGGATGATGATGCAAAATGATCAATCCTTGCCATAAAGCATATCATATCTCAATCGCTATATCAGTAAAAAGACATTCCAAATCAGCCCTAACCCCCCGATTTAACATTTTGATGCTGAGCAATAACTACGACACTTAGAAACACGGTGCAGTGCCACATTATTCCTGGGTGGATCAGTGCATCATCCTCTTTGTCCTTGCGACTGAAAAGAGGAGCAACAGTCTCC